AATAATAATAATAATAATAATAATAATAATAATCGAGAAAGCAGTCTAGTCGACATTTGCGAGTAACGAGCATTTTGAGCTCCGTTACCGCGAGTTTAAGCTTTCTTCTTTCGATCCAAGGTGTTTGCATGGTTTGTTCGCACGCAACGATTCATCTTTATTAATTCGCATAATTCACAACATTTCGAGTTTCTTGCGCTCGTTCAAATACATCTGCGGTATTTGAACGTATATCATCGTCATCGTCGTCATCCTCGTCGTCGTCCTCGTCATTCGTCATTCGTCATTCGTCGTCCTCCTCGTCATCGTCATCGTCATCGTCATCGTCATCATCATAATCATAATCATCATCATCATAACCATCATTATCATTATCATAACCCTCATTATCATTATCATTATCATAGGCTCGATGTAAAGAACGAAACCCGTCGCTTTAAACGAATTATTAGGTTGATCGAAAACTCGTGTGCGCGCAGTCCTTCGACTGCAGATGCGTTAACGGCAAAAGTACTGCAACGGTATATTAATATTATTCAAAGTTAACGTACACCACACCACACGAGTATCGTCGTAAAGAGACAAGGGTCAAAGAGTAGCGATAAACTGAGGAAATGAAATCAGCGATAGAGCATTAATGATTCGAGCGTATTTTATAATAAATTGCGAGTCTAACGGCGTTGCGCCTTTATCGCATCGCAGTGGCGAAACTTGTTGCGATTTCGATCGGGGCGCGTCATAGCGAAAATACCAAAGTACTCTGGCCACCATGTTTTCTCCTTCGTGCCCGAGCTTTCGCAATAATAGAATAATTGAGTGCTGTTACGATTGATGCATACCCTATTCAATTCGTCAATTTTATTGTTACGTAGCTCTAAATCGGAGGACGCTTGATTTTCGAATTCCTGTATCCTCTGGCAAGTGAGCTCCGTCTGAAATGAGAGGAAAAAGCACACACGTGCGTGGAGTAACGATTGCCGAACGCCGCTTAGCGTAAAGAATAATTATCGACATATCATCAATGTAAAAGTGACACATAGAGAGTAGCAAGATATACCTTGCGGCACTCACGGCAAACCGCAAAAATTCCATGACGCGTCAAGTCGCGACCGTTTCGTTGTATATTTTTTTTGGTCGAGCAAAGTGATACCGCTGAATGACACTTTTGCTCGATAACGTGTATCGCGTCAAGAATGTCACTCAGCCAATTCGTTTAGTTTTCATTTTTATTTTGTTTAGAAGCACGTGAACGCCGAGCAGGCAGCAAGAAAAGCACCAAAAATGTCTGTGACTGCCATTGTGCAGGATAATCAGTGACTCACACCGAGAGAAGTCCGATACGTATGTAAATATTTGGTCGACTCATTCGGAAGCTCCAATTGAAGTTTGCAACGTCAGTTAAAATTATATACAAAGCAAAAAAGCCTTTCAAGGATTCGCTATTAAATTATCCCCTGTTACATTTTCCCTCTTGCGGGTTCAAACATTTCTACAATCTTTTAATCGATAATGCTGATCATGTGTTGACATATATATACGTATAACCGTGTAAAACCAAAAATAATAAAAAGCAAATAATTTTTCTCTTTTCCTTGGTAGGAAAGAAACAATGGTATTAATGATTGGCCGTAAAGCTTCTTTTCTTAATGTAATATGAAAATATTAAGTGATTAACGACGGTTAAAATAAGGAATTGACGTAATGAGAGACTATAAGAACGATGAGTGCCGATACAAGGTAGCTCGATTTTGTTCGTCATATAATTACAAAAAATATGAATAAATAATAGTAAATGAAAGTTGCAAATAAAGAATAATCAATTGTATCTTGATGTGAATATTTTTAAGATTTCTGGCAATATTCGATGGGTGCTTATTATTTATAATGAATGAAAACTATTTGTATTAATTTAAAATTTATACTAATATATATTATGTTTATAATCACGTTATTCATTTCAAGCAACAATCTTCCAACGCATATTTAAAAATATACATATATATATATATGTGTGTGTGTGTGTGTGTGTGTGTGTGTGTGTGTGTGTGTGTATATTCATAGAAAGTAATATATGATTTACCGAACAACTATACATTATTAAGAATGCGAAAACAATAATTGTAGAAAATCCATAAATAAATGGAAGTATCGTGTTGCGCTATCGATAAAAAATATCGATTTTAAACAAGTTTCTGTAAAAAAAGTTTCACCAACGCTCTTGCGCATCTTAATGAAAGCAGTAGTTAATTCATTTTAAGTTAACGGAATAATTTTGTTTTTTTTTTTTTTTTTTTTTTTTTTAATGAATTGAGCAGTCGCAAAGCCCATCGGATACTCCCAAGGCTCTCCCAATTAAATCATCTATAATGTAATGCAATAGCAAAATAATAATAAATAAAGAAATGAAATATAAGAAAGAAAGAAAGAAAGATAGATAGATAGATAGATAGATAGAGAGAGAGAGAGAGAAATATATATATATATATATATAGAGAGAGATAGAGATAGAGATAGAGATAGATATGAGAGCAGACGAGAACCGCGGACATAGATAAAAGAGTGTAACACAATCAGGGTGCTTACATTTGGGGTGTTAGTCTTCGCTTGCCTGACCTGGCTTGTCCTAGGTAGGTTGGTGGGCCTTACCTGCACCTGCTTGCTGAGCATGGAGCCGGCCGTTTGGAGTGTGGCGACGGTGGGCCCAGGAACTGGTGCCGCAGGCGTCGCCGCGACGACGCTCGGGGCGCTCGCGACGACAGCCGCCGTCGAGGAGGCGGCTGCAGCAGCGGCTGCGGCGGCGGCAGCCGCTGCCGCCGCAACCGTGGCCCCTGGAGCCGGGGGCGGGGGCTGTGCCCCGACCGGCCGCGGAGGCTGCATTAACGAGGGGAACTCCGCGGTGCCGGTAGCCGTGGAGGCCGGCACGGAAGCTGCCGACGCCGCCACCGTCGCCGTCGTCACCTGCTGCGGCGAGGGCGGATACTTTTTGACACACAAAAAACGAGAAAGTACAATTTAGTTAGGGGGCTGACGAATTGGACGGGGGCCTCTTCGTTTACAGGTGTCTCTTACTATTACTGTTCGTTACCACTCGTTCCCTCTTATTCTGTTTTATGTCTTTTATTTTAAACGCACATATTATTTGAATTTAGATAAATGATAATTTTAAGGATAAAAGCATTTTGCCGGAGCGTTGCTGTCTCTCTCTCTCTCTCTCTCTGGGTGCTCGTACTACGGATAAAATTTGGCTCTCGTTGACACTCGCGATTAGCTCGTAGCGAGCTTAAATAATAAAAATGCCTAATAATTTGAATGTAATATCGAATGAAAGTGTTTTGTATAATGTGAAAGCTATTGGGCGATAATTGTACTACTTTAAATAGGTTTTATTATTATTTTGGTATCGCTCTCAAATACAGTGCATCAAAATTCTTTCGCAATCACTCAAAAAAATGAGTAAGTGTCGACCCAGTTTTGTCCGATATCTGCAGTTAAAAGCAAATTAATCTGACACCATTTTGCTGGTGGTACTTTTAATTTTCAATTATAAATTTAGAGTAGAATCTTTGAATGGTAAAAAAGAAGTTATGATTAATTATTTAATTTTGTTTCGTTTGTTATTACTGCCATTTGACGAGTGCTTAAATTAAATTTATTTTAAATATATGTTACCGATGAAATATGAAAATATTCAAAATATCCTATTAAATGACTTTCTTGCTAACAAGCGTTGGCATTATTATTTGTCCAGTTAAAAATCTCAATTCTGCATTTTTACCATTAAAATTATAATTTGATATATAATTTGATATTCTACAATTAATAATTGGTAATAAAGATATATAAATAACACTTGTATTCTAGCAAATATGTCAATACTTTTAAAAACAGCTTAGGAATGAATGAATAAATAAATAAATAAATAAATAAATAAATTAATTAATTAATAAATTAATTAATTAAAGATTAAAGTATACTCATCTTTCTTTCATCTTCTTGAATGATTGCAATTTAATATAAATATATGCCTACTTAAATGTCAAAATTATATGAAATTTTTCACAGAAGATGCTTTATTTTGAGTTATTGACAACATTTATTTACATACTTTTATGCTTATTACATATTTAAATTTAAAGATCGTACAATATTTTTTATGAATGAAAATTTATACATACATTTTTGTTTGTTTTTTGTTTTACTTTTGTTTGACTTAATTTGAATTTATAATAAATTTATCAGATAGAGTCAGAAATATTCAAGTTTTTCCTTTTAAAGTTAGTAATTGAAATTAAATTATTTAGGTTTGTGGGAAGTAAATTCTTTCACATTGTACACTTATTAATCAACTTACACGAGTTAGCTATTTTAAAATAAGAAATAATATATTTTTAAAAGCACGTATTACACACCCAGTTTAGTGATATTCAAATGTTAAGTGCAAATAATGTTAAAATAAAAACTAAATTATTTTTTGGTCGATAAAGAATCATACATATGAAAAATTAAATCATCGCACTTTATAAAGCTGCTGTATTTACATTGGGTATTCGAATGAAATATAATAAGACAAGATAAAAATAATATTTTACACCATCGATTGACAAATTTGATGAGAAAAATTTGAATGATAATTTACTGCTTGTATATTGTTTTACACGTTTAATTATGTTTATTTACTATTGACATTTAATTTTTTCTTTGTATCATTCTTGGGTAAATAAGAGACAGGGAACCAATGTGATATAAATAATGAAAATTATATAAAGTAATAATAACAAAGGATCCATACTTTTTGCTCACTAACCATAGGGTATGCCTGTTGTGGGGATGGACTCTTGGCACCACCGTGCCTAATGGGACTACTGCCCATGTGGTGCTTTGGAAAATACTCGTTTATTTTCTTACTATCTAGGGCAGCAACAGATCTGGCTCCTTTACTGCTAACCGGGCCCACCAGACCCCCTCCGCCGCTGTCATCAGCCTTACGTTTTCTTTTTCTTTCTGATGGGGTTCTTGGCACCTTTTCTGGAGTATTTGGGTCTACCTCCTTGTCGCTATGCGACGAGCCTGTCAAAAAATACAGCATTGTCGTCACTGACAAAAACAAAAAGCATAATTTCATTATGCAATATTTTGTATGACCATGTAGTTTATATTATTCCATGATTCCACGTGGATTTTACACATGTACATAATCCACAATGTGCCAATGTGCTGAGAGTAATAGTTGGCTATTACTAATATCGCTTATCTTGTGTTTGAAACATATTTTATGCACTATTAAGTTATAATTTAAGTTGAGAGATCTTTTATGATTATGCATATATCATGTAATTCTACAATTTTAACAGCTCGAGTGTGGAGAAGAAAAATTATTTTTATACATTACCACTGTAAAATTATAAGTTATCGAATTTTAATTTATTTTCATTCGATAATGAGTTTGTATTCAAGAATAAAGTACGATAAGTACTGTGTAAAAAGTAGTTATAAATTGTTATGTCTATAAGTCTATTACATGGTAATCTATATATTTGTAAAAACATGATTAATATTGTTAATTTTAATTTAAATTTATAAATATGTATGAAGATAAGCAAACCGTAATAGGTAAATTGGTAATTTATAAACAAATAATTGAGTTTCAAACGTATTTTAACGAAACTTGACTTATGTTATTGATTTTAATTGCCTTTACTGGTTTGATTTGACTAAATGTTTATTAGCAAGAAGTTCTATTGACGAACGAAGAATGTATGTATATCATTTTTCGACGGCATCTAGTTCCGTTAAATTAAGTGTATGTACGGTAAATCCAGATGGATCGATAGAATCGATACAAGACATTTTTATTACAATTAACTTACCGGTGCTCATGTTCGAATCTTGACTATGAACCGACTGACCAGAGTTTATCGTCGATTGGGGTGCCATCTGAATTTGTGACCCAGCAGACATCTGGAAGAATAAAGAATATAAATAAATTTTGCTCACAAAAGGATAATCGATAAGAAAAGATCTCAATACTGAATCCTCAAAGTGAACATACACGCATGATGAATTATTGATATGTTGGAATTTTCATAATATTGAAGTGTCTATGCAACAGTGATAAAATTATTATGAAGAATTAAAATATTTATATAATTTTCAATTACACGAAGCTATTTAATAATACCCAATTCAAAATAAACAGAAATATAACATCTATAATGTATAACGAGCCATTATTTCAATTTTGACTATACGTTATATATCTAATAATGATATATTTGATATGTTTAATTACACACGAAGATCAATTTAGGTTAGAAAGGCCATCCATAAATCTCTCGTTCTCAATATTCATTGACGGAATAGGGGCCTTAAATGGATAAAGTATGTCATATACTCAAAAGTTCGGTAAGCTATTATTAAAATTGATGTTTCAAGAGTTGGTTGTTGCCTTTATACAAATTTGAGGATTAGCAAAATATCATACATAGATTAACTTACTCAAAGGGGTGTCGAACGGGACGAAAAAGACGACACTATAAAGTCCTTATTAAAGATCAGGAAAAATTAACCGTAAAAGACGGGAATTCAAAATCCAAATCACAAGTAAATTTAAAAATATTTCCAGTACATACGTACGCGCCCGTACACAGTAACGCACGCACGCATAAACACATACTCGTACTCGCACTCGCAACAGAAAGAAGTTCAACCAAACGGAGTTAGTTTTATGTCTATCTGTCTCTCTGCCTGTCTGTCTGTTTCTCTCTCTCTCTCTCTCTCTCTCTCTCTCTCTCTCGTTGTCTTTCTCTCCTCATGGAGAGCTCACACGATAATGGCAAGCAGCGATACTCGGATAACGTGTCGAGCATACGCACGCGGCTTCTTCCTTTTCTTCCGGGTCGTGTGAATTTTGTGCATCATTGTCCGCGGCGCTCCTCCTATCGTTCAACTTTTCTTGAAAACCGTGCGATATCTCGTGCGATAGGGTAGAGTAGGCGCCTGCGTGAACACATATATATATATATATATATATATATATATCTGCCAACGTTTCTTCCCGCGCGCAGATACACGACGACAGATATATAATAATAACAACGCGAACGGCGAAATAGGAGATTAACCGGTGAGCACTTTTTTGGACGTATATATGCGTATGCGCCTGGTATGTGGCCAGTCTAAAGGAATCACGACAAAATGGAGGACCCTAGGTGCTCTCTCGTACTCTCTCTCTCTCTCTCTCTCTCTCTCTCTCTGTGAAGTCGCTTGTCGTAGTCGTTGGTCGTTTCGCTTGCGCGCACGCGGAAGAGAAGGGCGAAAGGGGAACGAGAAAGAGAGAGAGAGAGAGAGAGAGAGAGAGAGAAGAAGCGTGAGTTTTCTCTGAGTATGCTACACGTACCAATATATTATACACGCACGCCGTGAAACTAAACGGGGGAGAGGGGAGCCGCGAAAAGTTAGGTTATTGAGGTTAACAGACTAAATGTTGGGGGAGGGGGGAGGGTGTACAATGATGGACACGAACGAGCAGTTTGCCGTCTCGTTATGTCTCTCTTTCTCTCTCATCTTCCCTCCTGCCCGCTCGTCACGACGTCTCTTTTCTTATTCTGTCACATAGCCTTCCAAGAGAAAGAACGGAAGAGTGCGATGCACTATCCAAGAGCCATAGAGCCAAGCGCTTCGATTTTGTCGGTGGAATAAATGTACGAATGTTTGCGCGTTTGGCAAGTGCTTAACGGTCGGTAAATGTTGAGTTATAGCGGCGTGGCACCGGCGAAAGTTATTCGACGATACGAATTGTTTTCTTTTTTCATTTTTTTTTTTTTTTTTTTTTTTTTTTTTTTTTTTTTTTTTTTTTTTTAATACTACAGGATCATTCGTATATTTATTATTTTTTACCTCGAGTCGTATCTTTCATGTTCGGCTGCTCTTAAATTCCGTTGTTTATCGCTTAATAATGATTTTGATAATAACTTTGACAACTTTAATCGGCAGTATAGACATTGATAATATGGTTAACTCCGTTGATAATCATTATAATTGGTTATTTCTATAAATTGTAAATTAATTCAATAATTAGCGAGCTCAATTATCTTTTTTGCCGATAGCAATAATCCTAAAAACGTATGCGTTAAAATACTTAATAACTGAATTTATTTTAAGATGAAAACGGGGGGGGGGGGGGGGGGGGGGGAGAGAGGAGGATGAATGTTATAAAAATTTATATCGCATATTTTATGCAAATACACAAATATGCAAAAATATTATAATACTCGAATGATGTATATCGATCATATACGAATATTATTTACGTAGAATAAGAATACGTAGAATAATGAAATTTGTGCTTCAAATATATATATTTGCAATTGAATCGAATTAATTATTTTTCTTTTCTTTTTCTTTTTTTAAGCAAAATGTAGATGATAATTGATATTGCTGTTCGTGAACAATTTTTAGAAATAAGAAAATTTATACTAAATAAAATTCGATTGCAAACAAAGAGGGGTGGCGATTGGTAATGCAATAATATTGTGTTGACGTGTAAAGCGAGGGTGCGACAAAAGAAAAGTGGAATCCCTGCGCAATAAGAATAATGACGAGCAGTGAGAGTCCAAATTATGTACCAAACAAAACCATTTTTAATTAAAGGATCGTATTTTTTTCAACTACACACGTTAGTTATATAATTTATTAGTGTTCGTTTTAATACTTCATAAAATGATGTAAATGTTATTTCTTACGCTCATTAGTTATTATATCTTACAAATCAATATCACCTCATAAGTTATATAATAAAATTGATTGAAAATACAGATGTTTATTTGATACCCTATCTCCAAAACCATTATCAATTTATTATTTGCTTAATGTAAATTGTATACTAAATAAACACAAATCAATAGTTTATTATCAAGAGATTATTGCATTATAGAATACTACCGTAATCTCAACGTTTATTTTTATCGTTGAAAGGAAGGGTAGATAAATAATTACGAATCATCATTTCAAAATTAAAACTTGGTAGCCTAGGGGATGAATTCGAGTGTCGAGGTAATACTGTGAAACGGTACTCAATGGGTTAACGAACGATTAATATTAGTAATAGTTCCTTGCGTAGTTTTATCTTACAAGAGCACAAGTGCTCGTGAATATACAATTCCGAAACAAGAAATGTATATAAGAGACGGAAAGAGAGAGAGGGGGGGGGGAGTGAGAGCGGAGAGGCAGAGGGGAACGAACCATATTTGGCCAGATAGGGGAACAAAAAAAAAGGCGTCCAGACCTCTCGATTTGCCGGGGAAAATACACCTCCAAGATGGTGCCGACCTTTGCACAAAAGCTTCGTGGTCGCGAGAAATCGCGCTAAGAGAATAAAACATAGCGAAGAACGGATCTAGGGAGACGAAAGTTATCACTCGCAATCGTTCCCCACGACCTACATTGCGTCGCTATGAAGAAAAAAAGCAACAACAGTAGAGGCATATTGTTCTACATTTAGGCAGCCGCGATTGCCCCTTCAATGTTCATTTTTTCAATTTTAATGGGTAGTTAATTATCACTAGCTTCGCTCGAATGTATCACGATGCAAAAGAAAACAATTCGATTCCATTTCAAATCCATTACGACACCAAATTAATTTGATTTAACAATTACATTACGCATACACGCACGCGTGCGTGTCCTCGACTGACTTCAAAGTGTCCCATCAACTTTGTGCGCAGTTCATTTATATACTTTAATGCAATATTAAAACAATTAAACAAGATAATTTTGAAATATTCTCGGTAGATATGCTTCTTTGATTATTTTCTTTATTTTATATGAGCGTCAGTTTTCAAGCTTTACTTTAATAAAATCAATTTTATCGACTCAAGTTGAAGTTTTACATGGCTAAATGGACAAGATTATAAAATATAAAGATTATGCATAATGTAAAGACGAATAGAGAATGTTGTTGTATTTTAAAATAAAAAATTGGAATTAAAAAATAGATATAAAAACTCAGGGAATTATACAATCCCCTTTGTACCATTGTTTTTCTTTTTCTTTTTCTTTTTTTCTTTTTATTCCACTCACTTTCTCCAATTGTCAACATCCAGTCGCAAGGGCAAAGTTAGACAAACATAGCAAGTCATTTCAGTAGTTTATATAGCGAGGTATTATACCCCCAACAACTTTATTGTACATTATTTTTGAAAAATAAGAATATAAAAGAACGAAAGTTTTATAGAATCATAAGATCCTAGTTTTGATTATTTACATTATTTTTAGAATTTTGTAAATTATACTAATTAATTGTCATACTGAATTATACTAGGAAATAATTCATATTAAAAGTTTCGCTTTCCTATTCATATTCATGAAAAAAAAAAAAAAAAAAAATCCGAGTGTATAAGTAATGATAATTAAATTAAATTAATGCCAAATGGTATTTCATAGTTTTTTACATTTTAACTGCATTTTAAATCCTTAAAATATTTCAGTAAATTGAAACTCTGGCCTCATACCCCTCATTTATCTTGAGCTTAAAAATTTGTAAATTCTAATGGATTAGTATTAACGTCACTAGAAGACTACCGACACTCTATTCAATATATACAGTTAACTTTATCGATTTTGCCAAGAAAAATCTTTCGGTGGTAATGTCCTACCTATAGCAATGAATTTGACATTTTTCGCTCCTACAGATTTGAAATATATTAAAGTACAGTTGCCAGTGATAGAGTGTGACCCGTGCGGGTTTTATTATGACAGACGGCCTATTGTCGCAATTGTGTTAGTTCCCAATGAAATTGGGTAAGGAAGATTAAATGTGATTTTTGTTAAATTTACAAGGATTAAGTAGATACATGAGGCAGAGTCTATTTGTATAAGTGCATATGTGTAAGTACTGATGTGAGCATAGCTTGTCAGTGCTTGGAAATATAGATTGTGTTTAAGTAGATTTTTTGAAGTAG